TTTTTTTTTTTTATTTTTTTTTTTTTTTTTTTTTTTTTTTTAGTTGAGGTGAGAACATGTAACATAAGCTCTACCCTCTTAAAATTTTAAGGGTGTGGTTCAGCATTGGTTTTTTTGGCACACAACAGATGTCTAGAAATTAATCACCCTGTATAACTGCAATTCCCTGTTCTACTTACCCACATTCCCTGGCAACTATAACTCTTTTACATACTTAATATACCTGGCATCATGCAGTATTTGTCCTCATGTGACTGGCTTATTTCGCTTAGCATGATGTTCTTAAGTTTCATTTATGTTGACACATGGCAAATCTTCCTATACCTTCTTAAGGCTGAAATAATATTCCACTGTATATATTTACATTATTTGTTATTCATTCATCCGTTGATGAACACTTAGATGGTTTCCACATCTTGGCTATTAGGAGTAATGCTGCAGTGATTATGGGAGTGCAAATATATGTGATCTTGATTTCAATTCTGGGTATTAGAAGTGAGATTGCTGGATTATGCAGTAATTCTATTTTTAATTTTTTAGATCTTCCATACTCTGTAATGGCTGTACCGATTTCCATTTTCATTGAGTGTCCAGGGATTGTCATTCTCTCAAATCTTGGCAATACTTACTATCTTATTCTTTTTATACTAGCCTTTCTAACAGGCGTGAAGTGATATTTCATTGCAGTTTTTATTTGCACTTTGCTGAAGATTAGTGATATTAAGCATCTTCATATACCATTTGTATGACTTATTTAGAAAAATGTTTACTTAGGTACTTTTTTCATTTTTTAGTTGGGTTATTTGGATGTGGGTTTTGAGTTTTGTTTTTTGGTTTGTTTTGCTACTCAGTTGTTTGAGTTCCTTATGTTTTGGATATTAATTTGTCACATATTTGGCTTGCAAATATTTTCTCTCATTTTGTAGGTTGTCGTTTTACTCTGACCATTGTTTCCTTTGATGTGCAAAAGGGTTCTAGTTTGCTAGAGTCCTCTGTGTCTTTTTTTGATTTTGTTACTTACCTGTGCTGTATGAGTCATATCCAAAAAAATTGCTCAAACTAATGTTTTTTTTCTGTGTTTTCTTCTAGTAGTTTTATGGATTCAGGACTTAAATTTTTGTCTTCCATCTTCTTGAGTTGATTTTTGCATATGTTATAAGATAAGGGACCAATTTTATTTTTCCTGCATGTGGATATGCAGTTTTCCTAAAGCCACTTATTGAAGAGACTATCCTTTCTTCATTGTGTATTCTTGTCACTCTTGTAAAAGATCAGTTGATCCATAAATGTATGTATTAGTTTCTGGATCCATAAATGTATGTATTAGTTTCTGGATTCTCTATTTTGTTCCATTAGCTTTTATGTCGTATGTGTGTATGCACATGTGTGCATATACCCAATATTATACTGTTTTGATTACTGTAGCATGGTAACATATTTTGATCAGAAAGTGATTCTGATAGCTTTGTTCTTTTTGATAAAGATTGCTTTGACTATTTGACGTTTTATATGAATTTTAGGATTGTCATTTTGTATTTCTTTAAAGAATGCCATGGAATTTTGCATTGAATTTCTGTTTCACTGTGGGCAGTATGGATGTTTTAACAGTATTAATTCTTCCAATTCATGCATATGGATTGTCTTCTCAATTTTCATGTCAGAAAGTTTGTTCCACTTTTTTTTTAATGTTGATTTTGTACCTGCAAGTTAACTCAATTTTTTAATTAGTTCTAACAGGGTTTTTTTTTTTTTTTTTTTTTTTCTTGGAGGGGAGTCTTTAGGATTTTCTACATGCAAGATGCAAGACATGTCATCTGCAAACAAAGATAATTTTACTTCTTCCTTTCCTATTTGGGTCCTTTTATTTCTTTTTATTGTCTGATTGCTCCACCTAGTGTTTCCAGTATTACATTTAATAGAAACGGTGAAAGTGGGCATTTTTGTCTTCTACCACATATCAAAGGAAAAGCTTTTATTTCTTCTATATTGATTATGATGTTAGCTCTGGGCTTTTTATGTATGCCTTTTATTGGGCTGAGGTAAGTTCCTTCTATAAGAGGTTTTTTTTTTTTGTCATTTTGTTTTTTACATCATGAATGGATGTTGAATGTTGTCAAATGATTTGTCTGGATCTACTGAGATGACCAAGTGTTTTTTATCTTTCATTCTGTTAATGTGTATCACATTCATTGATTGATTTGTGTGTGTGGAACTATACTTGCATCTGGGGATGAATCCCATTTGGTGATGGATAATCCTTTTAATGTTTGTTGAATTTGGCTTGCTAGTATTTCATTGAGGACTTTTGTATCTGTGTTTATTAGTGATATTGGCCTGTGTTTTTTGATCTGGCTTTGGTATCAGGATAATGCTGGTCTCATAAAATGAGTTTGCAAGTATTCCCTTTTCTAATTTTTGGAAGAATTTAAGAAGGATTAACATTAATATTTTTGTGGATACTTGGTAGAATACACATTGAAGCCATTTGTTTTGGGGCTTTTCTTTGTTGAGACATTTTTGATTATGGATTCAGTCTCTTTATTTTTTTGTGTCTGAAGACTTTCTATTTCTTGATTCAGTTTTGGTAGATTGTTTCCTTCTAGGAATGTATTTAGTTCTTCTAGATTATCCAATTTACTGGCATAGTGGTTCATAGTGCTTCTTTTTATCCTTTTTATTTCTGATGTGTCTGTTATAATGTGTTCTCTTTAATTTTTGGTTTTATTGATATAAGACTTGCCTCTGTTTTCTTAATTTAGGTAAGGATTTATGGATTTTGTTAATTTTTTTAATAAACGAACTCTTAGTTTTGTGGATTTTTTATATTGTTTTTTCTACTACTTTATTTCTACTCTAACCTTGATTATTTCCTTTTTCTCCTAATATTGGACTCAGTTTCCTCTTTTTCTCATCTTTGAGGTTTAACATTAGGTTGTTTATTTCAGATATTTCTTTTATAATATAGTTGTTTGTTGCAGTGAACTTCTGTTTTAATATTGCTTTTGCTATATTCCATAATTTTGGTATGTTGTTTTTATTTTTTATTATCTCACAAAAGTGTTTTTTTATTCCCATTTGATTTTTTCTTTGAGCCAATGGTTGATCAAGAATATTTTGTGTAGTTTCCATGTATTTGTGAATTTTCTAGTTTTCTTGCTACTGTTAATTTCTATTTTTTATTGCTTTGCATTTGGAGAAGATACTTGGAATGATGTTGGTCATCTTAAATTTGTTAAGATTTGTTTTGTGACCTAACATGTGACCTGTCCTATAGAATGTTTTGTGTATGCTTGAGAAGGTGAATTCTTCTGCTGTTTTATGGAATTTCTGTATATGTTTTATTAGGTTTATTTGGTCTGTTGTTTTGTTCTGCTGTTTCATATTGACTTTCTGTCTAAATGATCAATCCATTACGGAAAGTGGGGTATTGAAGTCTTCTATTACTGTTGTATTGCTGTCTTATTTCTCCCTTCAGATCTGTCAGTATTGGCTTTATTTGTTAAGATTCTCTGATGTTGGATGCTTATATATTTATAATTGTTGTATCTTTCTGTTGAATTGGCCTTTTTTTTAAATCATTTTTTCTTAAACTTTGTGTCTTCTGACCATTTTGACTTAAAGTATATTTTGTCTGATATAGTTTAGACACTATTACTCTAAGTTACCATTTACATGGAATGTCTTTCTCTATCCCTTTACTTTCAGTCTGTGTGTTCTTAAATTTAAAGTGAGTTTGTTGTAGATAAAATATAACTGGATCTTCATTTTGGTTTTTGGGTGTTTCTTGTTTTTTTTTTTTTTAGTCCATTTAGCCACTCCAGTCTTTTGATAATGGAATTTAATCCATTTTCATATAAAGTAATTATTGAAAAGTAGGGACTTCTTTTTTTTTTTGTCTTTTTTTACTAACCGGAAACGGGATCACAACCCTCGGTGTCGCACCCGTACCGGGGACCGGCAACGGGATTGCAACCCTCGGTGTTGCGCCCGCACTGCGCTCAGCCAGTGAGCAGGAACCGGTCTCCACATGGGATCCGAACCCTTGGCGGGAGCACGCGCACACACTCCAGTGCGCCACTGGGCTGGTCCAAAGTAGGGACTTCTTATTGGCACTTTGTTGGTTGTTTTCTCTCTGTTTTGTAGACATGTATATAAAAACAACTATATAAGCACGTGCAAAATCCAGCGCAAGTAAATGAAAAATTCGCGGTAACGGGATCGCAACCCTCGGTGTCGCGCCCGTACCGGGGACCAGCAACGTGATCGCAACCCTCGGTGTTGCGCCCGCACCGCGCTCAGCCAGTGAGCAGGAACCGGTCTCCACATGGGATCCGAACCCTTGGCGGGAGCACGCGCACACACTCCAGTGCGCCACTGGGCTGGTCCAAAGTAGGGACTTCTTATTGGCACTTTGTTGGTTGTTTTCTCTCTGTTTTGTAGACATGTATATAAAAACAACTATATAAGCACGTGCAAAATCCAGCGCAAGTAAATGAAAAATTCGGTGAACTTGGAAATTTTACTTGAGACTCTGTCCACATGGGTTGCTGGGTCTGATCTTGTCTTGGAAGATACTGAAAAGACAGGTGGTGACAAAGGACACACCACTGGCCAAACTGTGAACATAGAAAACAATTTTGCATGCAAAATATCTGAGGGAATGTTTCAACTAAAAGATGCCATTGTGTGGAGGACACCTTTAGAGAGGAGTGTCTAGGTATTGGCAAAAGTCAGGTGCCTGAGAACTAAATCTGTCTACTTTAAATAGCATCCACTGAAG